CCAAGTGGAGGCCAGAACCCCTTACACCAAGCCCTGGCCCCTGTGCCCTGCAGGTGCATCTCCACTAGGGCAAGTTCATCTGAGAATCTTTGAGGCTGACACCTCTCATGGAAGACCAGCACAAACCCCTGGCATGCCGCAAGTCTGCTGATCATAGAGTGCTGCAAAGCATTAGGTCTAGGCAAAATAATGCATGTATCAATTACTGAAAGAGCAGGGTTTCATGCTATAATAGTGAATTTGTGCATTCGAATGTCTGTCCACCAAGGGAGTGGATTTTTCCATTTTTCTTTCCCCTCATCAACAGTTTTTGTGTCACATACTTTGATGCTGTATTGTCAGATGCATGTAGGTGAAGGAATGTTTATGTCTTATAGGAGAATGGACCCCCTCCTCTTCAGGTAATGCCTCTCTTCATCCCTGGTTCTGAAGTCAGCTTTGTCTGAAATGAATGTAGCTACTCTGGCTTACATTTCATTTGTGTTAGCATGGTTGCTTAACTTTTTCTGCTTCTTTTCTTTTAACTTATCTATAGTCTGATCATTAAAGAGAGTTTCTTCTAATGAGTTTCTTGTGCTTTCTGTGTTTTTAAAGTCCATTCTGATACTCTTTTAATTACTGTACTGAGACAGCTCGTATTTATTTTTATTTTTATTCCTTCTTATTTTTTCTTTTCAATTTTTTATTTAAATTTTAGCTAGGTAGCATACAGTGCAATGTTGGTTTCAGAAGTACAATTCAGTGATTCATCACTTGCATACAACACCCTGAGTTCATCATATGAAGTGCCCTCATTAATACCCATCACCCAGAAAGCCCAGCCCCACCCACCTCCCTCCATCAAACCTGTTTGATCTCCATTTTTTAAAGATTTTTTTTATTTGAGAGAGAGAGAAACACAAGTGGAGGCGGGGGAAGGGGCAGAGGGAGAGGGAAAATCAGTCTCTCTGCTGAGCAGGGAGCTAAATGTGGGGCTTTATTCCAGGACCTTGAGATCAACACCTGCCCTGAAGGTGGATGCCTAACCAACTGAGGCACCCAGGTGCACCTTGTTCTTTATTGTTACGAGTATCTTATGGTTTGTTTCCCTCTCTCTTTTTTCTCCCCCCACCCATGGTGTTTACAGTATGTATCTCCAGCCTGCTACGGGTCTGAGAGATGTTTGAGCAGCTGCGGTTCCAAGCAAGCAGGGATAAGTGTCCTGGTACATCTGTCCCCTGGGACCCCTGATACCCTGGGCTGCATCCTTAAACCCTAAACCACTGTCATATCTGGGGTCAGTCCTCTAGCCACCAAGGTGTGCTACTCACAATACCCTGTTGGCTGAGCCACAGGAAAATTGAAACAGGTCTTGTTCCCATGCCACCCCTCATCCAAATCAGTGCCTTTGAACCCTTGATTTATAGAGCACAAGTACATGAGAAATATATAGAGGAAGAGATACAAGGACTTATAATAAGTTTTGGAGAAGACATGAGAGTTCTGGGAAAGAAACATGGAGAGGGGAAGAGTCAAGCTTAGGCAGAAGGAGTCCCACCACATCCAGGCCTGGAGGGAAATGGGAGATGAGCACTTCCATCAAATGCTCTGTGAAGACTGAGACCACAGGGATGGAACAACAGCCTTAAACCACCCACCTTTGGGCAAAGTTGCAGGGCAAAGGGTGTGGATGGAATGCTGTATCTGTGGGCACTCCGTTGGCTCCAGGATCACAGAGTCAGGCCTAACCATGCATTTCTCATCTAAACGAGGCTCACACATGGTCCAGCCTGGGAGGAAGTTGGACTTTGGGTAATTCTCAAGGAAGCTACTCCCTGAAAACAAGCATTTGCCTCTGGGACCCCAAGGAAGACAATCCAGACCTGGAGGAAAACAGCATGGTGGGTGGCCCAGCAGTTGGGGGTCTAACAAGCCCTGGGTAGAGGATGGATGCAGCATCCTCATGACAAGGGTGCTCCTGCTGGGTTCACCAGAGAGATAGGGCTGCTAGGAGTAGAGGTCTCCTTTACAGCTGTGAGAAACATGAGGTAGAACTGTATGAGATCATAGGGCATTTTATTTGGGACAGCTCTTACAAGAGTTGTAGAATTTCTGGTTGGACATACTTCTGAGCTCTTGGGGCTGGAGGTATCTCTGCAGGACCCAAGCCTTTTAAGAAGGAAGAGAAGCCTGCATGAATCCCCAGATACTGAAAGAAGGTGGTATACACCATGCCATCAAGGTATCTTCCCTAATAACCTTGCCTCTCTAAGGTTGTGGGGTACTTCTGCTGCTTGGCAGTCCCTTTCCCAGTCTCTCTGAGAACTCTCAATATGACCTCTGTGGACTGGCCTTGGGCGTATCTGGGTGCTGTGGGTGGCATAGTGGTTACTAGATGCTCCTGTACTACAGAGGGAATAGGATGGCACAGTGTACATACTGAACCACTGGACATGTTTGCATTGGGAGCAGATAGCACTACTTTCCCCTGAAGGCCTTGCCTGCCAATTAAGGCAGAATCTATAGAACTTCAAAAGTCATGTTGGAAAATGGTGCCATGAAGTTAGCCCCTATCTCCCACAAGGGTTCTCATGGGCTCAGGGGACCAAAGCACAGGGACAGCTCCAATCAGATGGGGATCCTACAATGTCCCCTCCTCAATACCAGTGCCTGCCATGGGCCCAGAGGGATACAAAGCAGGGTGAGGTGAGCTGTCCTGCTTGCATGAGCACTGTTGGGCCTATGTCTTCACTCATTTGCCAGATGCCGGTATCGGGAGTGGTCTGAACCAACCCCAAATGTCTCATCACACCTAGATATTAACAGAAGAAAGTCTCTGTTGACTTTAACAGGTTGGGAGGGCAGGGTTGTGTCCTGCAGAGTGAGATGAAGAACATCTCCAAGGGCTCTCTTCAGAAATAAGTCAATGCACACTACCTCCAGGCCTGCCCATGGTAGCCCTACAGGCACCCAGAGCCCTGACTCCAAGTTAAGTAGCTGCTGGAGGACAATAGCCCTTGCTGCTCAGGTGCATGCATGGATTAGGTACTGGTTCCCTGGGAGATGTGCTCAGGGCCTAATCTAGTGGGCTGCATGGATTATGACTATACTCTAGTCTACTTCATGGTGGCAGGCAGTAGCAGTCAGCCCAGCAGTTCTGTTGATTCCACTGTAGATCCACCAAGTAAGTTGGGGAAGGAATGAACCTTTCATGGCAGGCACCCCACATTTACAATTTCTCTTCATGTTCCTCCTGTGAAACATCACCCTCTGCTCTTTCTCTAGGGTCCTGTTTTTGACATCTGAAAGGAAGGGAAGAATCGGGCATGACCAGAGACACCCAGGGTAGGAAAACACCCATGTGGGATGTGACCAGTTCAGGGCCAGCCTTCTCTGGGCCAGTCCAGCTCAGCCCTTCTGATTCCCAGCCTGGCTCACTGCTGGGCCATTCAGGACTACTCACCATGAGTCAGTGGTGCAGACCCATGTTCAGGGGCCAAGGCAGTACTAATGAACAGGGTGAGGGGGGCTGCAGAAACATTTCCTAGACCTTTCCATTGAAGAGGCAAGGCCTCAAGTACTTGGATGAAACCAGCTTCCTCAGGGTGAGCCTCATAAAAAGAGACAATGGGTGAGAGCTACAAAGAGAATGTATGCATTGCAGAGAGAGAAAGTGAAAAGAGATGAAAGGAGGAAATATGTTACAAGGCACCATGTTGCTGTGTTCATCTGAATCCTCAGAAACTGCAAAGTAGTCTTTGAGTGGAAAAGGTACTGATGACGTGGGGGAGGCTGTAGGAAAGGAAGTCACAGAGTTAGTTGGAGGTGGGAACACAGACACTGCTGCTTCAGGGATGAAGTACCCTGAATTCTGGATGACTCGTCCTCAGCTCTGAGTCCTCCCCAGGCTCCAACCCTTTACATCTGCAGGAAGGGAGTAGGTCTCTGTTCCCTGACTTGCTTTTCCAACCTCACATTCTCTCCATGAGCAGGAATAGGTGGATGCCTGTGTCCTCCTGTCACTCCTTCAGGAGGTCACTGTCCCCATAACAGTCTGTGCCTGATATTACCTTCCTCCCTCACAACTCCTCTCCTGCCTTGTTTCCCTTCCTTAGAGGATTAGATTCCTTGATGGAGCAACATTTAAGGTAGATGTTGAGTTTCATGGTCTTACTATCATTCTATAAAACCTGCTAAACCTGTTTACCTTTCAGGCAGCATTAGTGATGGAGGCAGGAGTCCAGCCTATGTTGACTTTGCCCTTGGCCCTGTGCAGAAAGACATGTCCTGTATCACAGACTTTGGAGGGGAGGCCACACAGAATAGGAGATATTTGCAAATGACACTACAGATAAAGGGCTGCCATCCAAGGTCTATAAAGAACTTTTCAAACTCAACACCCAAAAAACAAATAATCAAGTCAAAAAATGGGCAGAAGATATGAAAAGACACTTCTCTGAAGAAGACATACAAATGGCTAACAGACACATGAAAAAGTGTTCATCATCATTAGCCATCAGGGAAATTCAAATCAAAACCACATTGAGATACCACCTTACACCAGTTAGAATGGCAAAAATGGACAGGGCAAGAAACAACAAATGTTGGAGAGGTTGTGGAGAAAGGGGAACCCTCTTACACTGTTGGTGGGAATGCAAGTTGGTACAGCCACTTTGGAAAACAGTGTGGAGGTTCCTCCAAAAATTTAAAAATAGAGCTATCCTATGACCCAGCAATTGGACTCCTGGGTATTTACCCCAAAGACACAGATGTAGTGAAAAGAAGGGACATATGCATCCCAATGTTCATAGTTCAAGCCTTTTCCACAGGTGTCCTCTTTAATTTGGGAGAGCATTGACTCAACCACTGTATATGTTCTGGTTTCCTGAAATCACATGGAAAACAGTGTATACAAGTGTGTGATCCTTGTAGTGTTTCTTTTCTCTCTTCCCAGAGTGATGCAGGAGGAAATCAATATTGTATGTATTCTAGAATTTGTCCTTTCTCACACAAAATCTAGGTGATGAAGAAGGTGGGGCTGCCCTGGCTGCTTTGGAGAACCACCCAGATTCCAGATTCCCACTGGTAATATGAGTAGGGAAGCAGTGAGATAAACTGCCTTTCCTGTAAAAACTATAACCATATTCTACAGACTCTAGAAGGAAGTTGTTTATTTAGGTGTGGTTTTTGTGTATGAGGGTTGGAGGGTGTCTATGTGTGAGTCTGTGTGGCATGAGTGTAAACATGACTGCATGTGTGTGTTTGTGTGTGGTGTGTGCACACGCATATTTCCTCAGGGGCACTTTCTCATTTAACCAGCACAGTGCAAGTGTGGACTTTCTAAAGAGAAAAAAGAGAACACTCCTCACATGCACGCTTTGCCTACTTTGACTCTTTCCTCCTCCACTGCATTTGTATCTGGGGAATGCTTCAATATTCCTTGCCAGAGATGAATGGCCCAAGCTCTTGACTTCCTACATGGAAAGGTCACAATGTGAACCATGATCTAGGTCCCACTGTTGATGCTCTGGGCTACTGACCTGCACTTATCTATCAGCCACAGGGTGATTAGAGAGCAAGGGAGTTTCTGCATCTGAGTCCATGCCCGGGAGGAAGTACCAGTGTCTACAGAGGTCCTACACACTGCCAAAATCTTAGAAGGAGGCCTCAATAGCCACATAAAGCAGAGCAGTTATTGGGGCACTTCACATCTGACTGGGAATAGCACTGGTGTGCAATGCACCTAGAAAGCCCACATGCTCTTGGTCAGCCCCCAGATTCTAAGAGGTGAGAGGGCCCATGCAAGACAGTGCAGGTAACATTGGCCATTGCTTGGACATGGCTGAAGCAGAGAAGAAGCAGGGAGAGATTTCAGTGTATTTGAGGACATTTTCCTGAGTTTTACAAATGCTTTACTCCTATGATCACACACCCAATGGACAGTGGGAAATAGGAACTCAATGGAAAACTCAGTTGTTAGCTTGCTGCCTAACACCCTTTTTGTAAATCCCCTGCACAGCTGGTTAGAAAGTGTCAGCCCACACTCTGTGGTTCTCTGTAATGAACTTCCCATTGGCTCAATGGCCCATGGAGTAAAATTACTCCTTGGCTGAATGGACACACAGAGACACACAGACAGACAGACAGACAGACAGACAGACACACACACACACACACACACACACACACACTGCACAGGAAAGGAAGACTGGAAGGAAAATACCACATGATGGATAATCACAAAATTCTAACCCTGAAACCAAAATTACACTATATGTTAACTAACTTGAATTTAAATGAAAAGAAAAGTAAAAATGGGTATTTTTAAATGGTAGGATGTCAGTATTTCAAATATTCTATAAGTGATTTACTTTAGGATGACTGATTAGTGAACAAGTATAATAGGATATTTGCCTAGGATTGATTTCAGTCTCCCAGTAAGACAGAAAATCTTACAGAGGATACAATCAGTACAGGTGCGGCCAATGGGCATCCTGGGGGAAGAACTGGTTTTCAAAGAAGATAGTGGCAAGAATCACAGATCACTACATCAAAAACTAATGATGTATTGTATGGTGACTAACATAACATAATAAAATAAAATGAAACTAAAAAAAATCCAAAGAAGATAGTAGCACTTTAGCTGAACCTCAAAGATGCAGGAGAGGTCATGGGACGCTGTCATTACAACATAGCACACATTTTACTCTTTACCTTTTGTAGACTGACTCTTTCACACTGAATAGACTCCCCTTATCAAGAAAGCCAAAGGTCCAGTTTCTCATTTCTTTTCTGTTCCTCTACTCTGTCTTCCTTTGTCCACCAAGGAGGTCAGTCAATACTTACCACCCATAGGCACACTCCCACACTGTGTCCACATCTAGCAAAGCACCCTGGCTAGTTGCTCAGCACCAGGGCTCTGACAGTTCCTTTTTTTCCTCCTAGCTCCCACCGAAGGCCTGCTTGAAGAGCTTCCCAGCTGGAGCGTAGAAGAAGAAGCCCCAACCCTCTCCAAGGTAAACTCTTTTTGTCTAAGAGAGACATATTTTTTTTCTTCTTCAATAGAACTAAGCTATCAAATTCTGAGCCTGGACATCTCAGATGATATATCTCATTATGTCAGTGTGGAGAGTTTCAAGTGAGAGTGTGTTACCAAATGATATCTGATACAATAGGGTATTTTATGAATGACAACATCAGCTACAAACCATATGGTAGTGAGCATTTTCCTCAGCAGAAATGTTTGTCCATGAAAGTGAATTTTTGGTTTCCTGATCAAAATGAACTTGCAAGATCTTGTATGAAATGCTCAAGCTTTGTCCATGTCCACTGTGTTTTGTTCTAGGGCCATTGACTCAACCTCTGGTTCCCATTTGGTTTCCTAAAAAGAACAAAACCTCTGTAAACACTGTATAGTGTGATGCGTTCTTCATACTGTTTTCGTTCCTCTAATTGCAGGTGGATGCAGAAGGGAACAAAAAGCCCCCCCCCTTTTTTTTATCAACATCTACTTTTACAGGACTACTGTGACCAATGAAGAAGGTGAGAAATGCTTGTCTGCTTCAGTCTGCAGAACAACCCTGATTCTGCATTCCTTTTGGGATTGGGTGTTGAGATGTAATGAGACAAACTGTCCTGTAAGGAACTATGACCCTGTTCTACATTCCACGAGACACTAGGTCATTCAGATGGTATGGTTTGTGGTGTGTGAGGGTTGGGGGTGGCTGTGTGCATCTGTGTTGTTAACTGTCAGTGTGTGTGTGTGTGTGTGTGTGTGTGTGTGTGTGTGTGTGTGTGTATGTGTTTCCTCAGGAGGTATTTCCCACTTACATAATACCACATTCCTCCCTCAACACAGCCATACCTGGAGGTTTGCTTAAAACTCCCTTTCCTCAGAATTCTTTTTTTTTTTCTTTCCTCAGAATTCTTAATCTCAGGAAACAAACTGAAGGTTGCTGGAGTGGTGCGGGGTGGGAGGGATGGGGTGGCTGGGTGATAGACATTGGGGAGGGTATGTGCTATGGTGAGCGCTGTGAAGTGTGCAAGACTGTTGAATCACAGATATGTAACTCTGAAACAAATAATGCAATATATGTTAAGAAAAACATAAAGAAGAAGATAGCAGGAGGGGAAGAATGAAGGGGGGGAAACCGGAGGGGGAGATGAACCATGAGAGACAATGGACTCTGAAAAACAAACTGAGGGTTCTAGAGGGGAGAGGGGGAGAGGGATGGGTTAGCCTGGGGATGGGTATTAAAGAGGGCACGTTCTGCATGGAGCACTGGGTGTTATATGCAAACAATGAATCATGGGAAACTACATCAAAAACTAATGATGTAATGTATGGTGATTAACATAACAATAAAAATTTTAAGAAAATAAATAAATAAAGCTATCTGACCCTAACCCTTTTCTCTTGACCAAAGGATAACCACTCCATAACAAGCAGGCTTATAGTGAGGATTCAATAAGCACATACATGTAAATCCAAGTCACAGATTCTCTATCCTTCCTGAAATCTTTTCTCTCTTTTTTTATGATTTTTATTTTTTATTTTTTTTATTATGTCATGTTAATCACCATACAGTACATCGTTAGTTTTTGATGTAGTGTTCCATGATTCACTGTTTGTGTATAATACCGATTGCCCCATGCAATATGTGCCCTCCTTATTACCCATTACCAGGCTCACCCATCCCCCAACCCCCTTCCCTCTAAAACCCTCAGTTTGTTTCTCAGAGTCCATAGTCTCTCATGGTTCATCTCCCCCTCTGAACCCTCACCCCCTTCATTTTTCCCTTCCTTCTCTTAATGTCCTCCATGCTATTCCTTATGTTCCACAAATAAGTGACACCATATGATAATTGACTTTCTCTGCTTGACTTATTTCACTTAGCATAATCTCCTCCAGCTCCATCCATGTTCATGCCAATGTTGGGTATTCATCTTTTTGATGGCTGAGTAATATTCCATTGTATATATGGACCCCATCTTCTTTATCCATTCATCTGTTGAAGGGCATCTCAGCTCTTTCCACAGTTTGGATATTGTGGACATTGCTGCTATGAACATTGGGGTACATACGGCCCTTCTTTTCACTACACCTGTATCTTTGGGGTAAATACCCAGGAGTGCAATTGTTGGGTCATAGGGTAGCTCTATTTTTAAATTTTTGAGGAACCTCCATACCGGTTTCCAAAGTGGCTGTACCAACTTGCATTCCCACCAATTGTGTAAGAGCGTTCCTCGTTCTCCACAACCTCTCCAACCTTTGATGTTTCTTCCCTTGTCAATTTTTGCCATTCTAACTGTGTAGGGTGACATCTCAATGTGTGGTTTTCTTTTTTTATTATGTTATGTTAATCACCATACATTTCATCATTAGTTTTTGATGTAGTGTTCCATGATTCATTGTTTGTGCATAACACCCAGTGCTCCATGCAGAACGTGCCCTCTTTAATACCCATCACCAGGCTAACACATCCTCCCACCCCCCTCCCCTCTAGAACCCTCAGTTTGTTTTTCAGAGTCCATAGTCTCTCATGGTTCATCTCCCCATCTGATTCCCCCCCCTTCATTCT